TTTTTTTTTTTTTTTTGGGGGGGGGGGGAGTTGTGGATTGACGGGAGTTGTATTAATGAGAAGTGTTACGAATGAAAAATCAAGAAAAAAATGGTGGCATCTGGAACAATAGTCAAATCTTTTCAACAAGATCAAAGGTGTGTTCACTCTCACCGCAAGAGGGGAACATGCAAATTTTTGTTCATTTAAGATCAAGGATGTGGAATTTTTTTTTTTATGTTTGTGCTCCTGGTACCTGCACTGCTGGGAGGATCAAAATCTATAAACTTTTGAAATGTAGTCTTAAAAGTTCTAAGGAATAAGCTTCCTTTTCCAGTTTTTTCTGTTTGGTTCCTCATTTCTGCATTGTTTCTTATTCAACTGTGTTGCCAAAAGTGGACTAAACTTTGGAGGGGGTGCATGATTTTTTTGCCCCCCTCAACACCCCGCGGCTTGGCAGGAAAAAAATAGAGGAAAAGGAGAAGACATAAAAGGCAAAATACAACCATCTACGAAAGGCAAAACTGATAACCATGTTTGTTAGGACTTCAATGAGAATTAAGATGGCGGAAAAACATGCTAGGGAGATGACAACTTGACCACCAAATTCGAAAATCTTTCTCCTTTGCNTAAATAAATTTAACATTCTAAATAATTAAACATAATTATAGAATATCATAAAATAATTAAAAGTTTCTCATTTACAATATAATATATTAAAATCTTGTCTACAACATAATTCAACATAATGTAATTAAAAGTTTATCTCCCTTGTAAATCTAACATAATATCATGCAACACAACATAATATAACATAACATAATCTAACATAAAAAAATATAAAAACACAAAGATCTATACTTTTACATGCCAAAATCTTGAAATAAAATCAAAAAATAAAATAATTTTTAAAAGAAAATTCATTCAATAATATGTAGATTTGTATTCACAGCAACATGTATATACATAAAATAATAATAATTGGTAAAGTGGGGTAGGGTAAGTGTCAATCCATCTCTGCATTCATCCCTACATAGGTTTATATATGAGTATCCACGTATATGTCAACCGTGCAATTCGTATGGACCATCCCCGATCCAAACGAGATGGATTTGGACAAATACTCATTTTTACGCGGTCCATTGCGATCCTTACGTGCACCTTGATTNAATAATATGTAGATTTGTATTCACAGCAACATGTATATACATAAAATAATAATAATAATAATAATTGGTAAAGCGGGGTAGGGTAAGTGTCAATCCATCCCTACATTCATCCCTACATAGGTTTATATATGAGTATCCACGTATATGTCCACCGTCCAATTCGTATGGACCATCCCCGATCCAAACGGAGCGGATTTGGACAAATACTCATTTTTACGCGGTCCATTGCGATCCTTACGTGCACCTTGACTGATCTCCTCTCCAGTCTGGTGAAAGGCAGACCATTCACGTCGGGATTATAGTATTCAAGGGAGATAAATTTCTTATAGCCTGACTCCAAAAAGTTGCTAAGATTCAAATTTAGAACGTCTGAATTTACGACTTGTTCTTTACTAAATGTGTAACATTTGAAGTTTTACATTTACAAAATTAAGTATGAATGAGAAGGTCATTCACTCTGGATATTAANAAAAGTTGCTAAGATTCAAATTTAGAACGTCTGAATTTACGACTTGTTCTTTACTAAATGTGTAACATTTGAAGTTTTACGTTTACAAAATTAAGTATGAATGAGAAGGTCATTCACTCTGGATATTAAATGAAACTGCATTAGAGATATCCGATGCACATTGCCACACATGGTGGTGGTTTTAGACTTCAGAAGGGAATGGCCACTTCCAAGTTCCATTGTCATTTCTGAAAATCTCATTTAGACATTGGAAGCACCATTCTTGGACCCTTCAACCTTTCAGATGTTTCACACTATGGTTGTGCTTCCCTTTTATTTATTTATTTTTTTTTTTTTTTTGGGGGGGGGGGGAGTTGTGGATTGACGGGAGTTGTATTAATGAGAAGTGTTACGAATGAAAAATCAAGAAAAAAATGGTGGCATCTGGAACAATAGTCAAATCTTTTCAACAAGATCAATGGTGTGTTCACTCTCACTGCAAGAGGGGAACATGCAAATTTTTGTTCATTTAAGATCAAGGATGTGGAATTTTTTTTTTATGTTTGTGCTCCTGGTACCTGCACAACTTTTGAAATGTAGTCTTAAAAGTTCTAAGGAATAAGCTTCCTTTTCCAGTTTTTTCTGTCTGGTTCCTCATTTCTGCATTGTTTCTTATTCAACTGTGTTGCCAAAAGTGGACTTAACTTTGGAGGGGGTGCATGATTTTTTTGCCCCCCTCAACACCCCGCGGCTTGGCAGGAAAAAATTAGAGGAAAAGGAGAAGACATAAAAGGCAAAATACAACCATCTACGAAAGGCAAAACTGATAACGATGTTTGTTAGGACTTAAATGAGAATTAAGATGGCGGAAAAACATGCTGGGGAGATGACAACTTGACCACCAAATTCGAAAATCTTTCTCCTTTGCCCCAAAAGGAATAAACTTATGGATACAGATCACAGTTCCACCAGTGTCGGAATTCATGCTAACCCTGATCATGGAAAACAAAAACAAAAACAAAATGGAGGCACAAATTTGCTTCATGTGTGAAACCTGGAAATTCATATACATTAATCTGAAGCACAAAACAATGATTACATCAGAGTACAAACAAACACTTCCTCTTGGTGGCAGAACTAAGATTTGCCTCAAAGAATACTGCTGCTAGAGCAACTGAAATTACAAGATCACAATGACTACTTTTGTTTACTTCCTCAGCTTCCTTTCGCCTGCTATTGCGTGAGAGGAACACATTCAAGCTCAATCTCTAGCACTCCGCTTTCAACATTCTGCAGCTTGAGAGCAATGTCCTGCTTCACCTTCTTATCTACCAGGGTAATGACACCATCTCTCACCAGGGTGTTTTCTTTACTTGCTAACCACTTTCCGAGCTGCATTGGCTCGTTGATCTCGGAACTCTCGAAGGCTTTTGCAGCAGAGACCAGGGGTTGAATGTCAATCTCAGCCTCACCCATAAAATCATCGGCTTTGAATGTATCCTTGTCATACACAAGCTGCAAAGTGATTCCAATTTTTTGTTTAGTGAAATGGTGTAAGTTCACACATGAAGCTTCTGAACCTCACAATTGACAATGTATACGTGAACTTTTTGTGTATCTGATCAGTTGTGTTCATGAAATTGGATTCTTTACTTGCTGTACCAAATTAAGTTATCTGGAAAGTCAACTGACCAACTTCAGAGGAGGAATGCTTTCTGGAATGGACAACATTAGCTTTTCATTCCACACTGGGTTAAGGTTATTCTTTATGACTCGTGTCTTCACTGACTGTAACAAATATAAAAAAAAGTTACGTTACTTGAACAGTTGATTCGTTGTCCGTACCTGTAAAACTTAAGGATACAAAAGAAAAAATGAAAATTTTTTCGATAGGAAACATACATACTTGGTTTCCCAATGAGAGAATGACGTAAGGATCACTGGTCATCATATCTCGGACAACTAGCTTTGTGCCTCTGACCACATTGACCTTTATCAGTCCTACAAATTCGACCATACCTGCCTATAGACAATATGAATGTCGTAAGACTCGGGCATCCTTGTTGAACTGAAATCCTGAAGTCAGGATAAAATGGCTTAACACAATTCTAGATGAATGCAGAATGGGATGTGAGTGCCCCAACTTCAGAAACATACTTTTTCAGAAAAAAATATGAGAAAATATTAAATGAAAAATAGAAGCTGGAATACTTTAAAAGTTCCTTATACTAGCAAAAGTTCATGGTTAGATGAATGAAAGAATCAGGGAGATATCTTTTTCTCAACATCTTCTACCCAAAAAACTTGGAAGAAAAAAATCACAATGTGGTAGGAAAGTTAAATAAGACCCCTCCTTACAACAGAATATCATTACCATAGAATTACTCTTCTTGGTGGCTTTGTGTTCAGACTCTTTCCTTCTCCAGCTGTTTCGGAATGCATGCCCAAGTCCATGGATACGGTGACCAGTTGTTTGCTTCTCATAGGTTTTTTTATCTGAGGCTGAAGCAGAAGTACATGTTGAAGAACTGCAGAGATATGATGAGGCAGACGGAAAGGGGCAGGCAATCTCTATATCCGAGTTCAAAAATTGTAGCAGCTCATATTTTCTCCTGAGAATCCAAGAAGCAGGGTATGTGATTTAAAATGGTATTCAGTACTTGAATAATTTTGTGGCATGTTTTGTTTTTTCTATTACCTAATGAAATCGGAGCGGTCCTCTATAGAGGAATCTGGCTTTGGTTTTCTGATATTGTCTGGAATGAAGGCTTCATACTTCAAATTTACTGCAGAATTTCCACCCTTATCTCTCAAACTATCAACTTGCTCATCTGTCCATTCATCTAGCTTCACTGACAAAACCTGGGAAATAAACCAAAAGTGAAATAAAATTGTTTACCGAACTTGACTAATAATCAGACTACATTATGCTGCGAAAAGACCAATCTTATCGTCCAATTGCTGTATTCAACGAAAAGTGAAAAGCGGCATTGAGTTTTTCTTTTGAGAGAACATCCCAACAAATGAGTGCAGAACAAACAAAGACAACATCTTGTCCAATTTTCTTTTATTAAGTAATGAATGAGGTAAGAACACATTCAGCAGCTTGGGAGAAAGGCTGCACTCATTTGGTTGATGGGTAGATCTTATTTACGCTACCTCCTTCATTATTCAAGGTCTTTGATTTTTAAGTAAAACAAGGGGAAAAATTAAGTTCAGGGTGAAATGGGGAGATTGAAGGCCAACTCGGCATGATTTGACTTGTTTGGCCTTCAATCTTCCAGTTAACTTGGATTGATTATTTATCTTACATATTGGTAGAGATATATAGATATATACACACACGCACATACATGTATTTATTATTTAAGACAAACAAGTTTAATTGATGCAGGACTGATAGAGTTATTCGAGGACATCGATGAATCTCCATAATCAATGTAATAATCTCATCCATTGACTGTGTCAGTACTTCCACCTGTGATTTAACCCAAGAAATATGAGGTGACAATCATTGCTCTCACATGTGATCTTGGTATGCCAAATAGTAAGGCCACACAATGGGGAGCCTCTAACACTCAATCTCAAAAAGTAAGCATCAGAGTATCCAGTGAAGGAGATTAAACACAACTAATATAACCATTTATCCGTGTTGTGAAGAAGTCATTATCATATGTAGCCTTGCCTTTCTTTCCTCAACGAATCAAGGGTGAGAGCTAGAATTTTGAGAAAATCTTTGGTGGATAAGTTCCATGATTTTCATGTTTATTTATGCCCTTTTCAAGCCAGGAATGCCTTTATTTCTGTAACAAGTCTCTTCTCCTCATGACCCTCCATTACATGGACTCAAGCGCTTGTGTCTGGAGATTCTCTGCTGTGTATCTAGGCTTGGGACTGCTTTATCCTTAAATCCAAGGAAATAGGCACAACTTAAAATCCATACTTTATAGTTTGTTTGATATTCTAGGGCAAACCGTTGTTTTGGTGTAACAGCTCCAACTTGGACACTTTGTAATATTAGATCATTTCTCGCAGAAGTGGTGACCCAATTATCCTTTCATTCCAGATTTCAAGCTTCTTACAATGTTGGTGTATGTAATTTCAACAGGCTCTATCTATTTCAGTGTTTTCAAAACATAATACAGGGTTTAGCAATTATGATCCCGTATGAAAAATACTTGATTATGTGTGAAAATTAGGAAAACTAGGACAAAGAACAAAGTATGAAGACCATACCTTTGATATATGCACTCCAAGACTTCTGTGTACTCCAGAGCACTTGATACATATAAATGCTCCAATGCTTAAGGATCTGGTGATCATCAAATGGGATGTTTTAACAGAGTGTAAGGCAATAAAAGCATTGATTTACAAAGAATTTTAACCGTCAAGAAATAGTAATGTCAACGAAATGGATCGATAAATGCGGTACTTTCCATGCATTTAAGAACTGCAACAGGTAATTTTAAATCCAANTAACAGAGTGTAAGGCAATAAAAGCATTGATTTACAAAGAATTTTAACCGTCAAGACATAGTAATGTCAACGAAATGGATCGATAAATGCGGTACTTTCCATGCGTTTAAGAACTGCAACAGGTAACTTTAAATTCCANAGTCAAAAAGCTGGATGATCCCAATTTGGCGAGTTAGGAAGAAGCTTTTGGTGAATGGACAATTACCTGACAAAACGAACGCTTTTGGCGTTCCACTCACACGCCCCATATATGGCGCGTACTCCCACACCTCTAAGTTAGTAAGAATTAGAAATGTGCCCCCACGTNAATTGGAAGTAGAAAATACTATGCATCTAGATGAGGCAAATCCAAATCAACTCCATCAAGATGCCAGTTGTTACCAAAGTATATGATGGAACCTAGTCATCGTGACATAAAAACACCGTCATATATCTTCCACTGAAGTCAGTCTCTTACTGACATTGATTCATGTACAATAGGTGACCGCCAGGATTGCTAAAGTGTGACTTGCTAAACTCTCCTACATACTAAAACTCAGGTCATCAAGTAGGAAAACATTATGAAAGGGAGGTTTAAAACAAGTAAATACGACTTTAGAAGAAATGTAAGGAGGCACGGCGCGAATGCAAGAACTGCAAGTCAGAACCCCACAAAAAGTCTTTCTGCTTCAAATAGTTCCAGCATTTCACAGAGATCCAAAATTCCACAAACAGACCCACTGACCCCAAAAGAAGAAAAAACCTAGTAATTTTAACACTTATTTGGGAAATAACATGATAGACAGATTATGTGATAAATATATAAGCAAATTAGTGAAGTGCATTACACTCGAATACTGTATACTTCTGTCATGCACCATGTCAAAACTTTAGATTGAATCTGAGGGCGTTCAGATGCATTGGAGTTCTGAGATGGCAGTTCTTGAGCCTATTTTTGGCCTTTTCCTGTCAAAACTTATCTATTGGGTGCTTGGAATATTTGTTGTCTTTGGAAAAAAGGGTGTTGGGTCTAGTATTTTTCTTGTTAGCTTTAGGAGGAAAAATGGGGTTGCAGAAGGGTTACAGTTTTTGAGAGGGGACTTCTAAAAGAAAGAAGTACAAATTTTGAATCTTTTGATGCTGCTTCTTTTATGGAAAAGATCTAGGAACTAGGAACTACCAAATGTTACATGCAGACAAGAGACTTAGTGTGTAGATTATTAGTGAAGGAAAGTTCAAAGTCTGCATATACAATGGTTTCAAAATGATCTGCCCAGAAAAAAAAGTGTAAAAAAAAGAAGAANTCTGCATATACAATGGTTTCAAAATGATCTGCCCAGAAAAAAAAGTGTAAAAAAAAAGAAGAAAAAAAAGAAAAGAAAAAAAAGTGTAAGGTCACATGGTATTCATGTCGTATATGTTGTGCTAAAACTTATACCTATCCTAACACTAACTTGACCACAATGATTGAAAGAAAGTTTTTACATTCACCAGTGAAAGACAATGTTGGATAGAGGCTCGAGTCCTCTGGCATTCTTCAAATTGAAATAAAAGTGTTTTTCTTTTACTTAATTAACGACTAAATAAAGATAGAGAACAAAGAGTCCCATTTAACTATTTGAATATGTTACTTACACCCATTTCGGATCGGGAGATCCACAATCTGCACAGAACTTATTGCTGGATTCATGCAGCAGATTCTTTAGCCTCCCATGAGGACCTGATTAAAAGAATAGATAGCATAAAAGCCATACACAAGCTACATAAATTCTATTAAGCAAAACGTTGAAGTGCAGCTAGCAGAGACATAATTTTATGAAAATAGGAAATCACCAAGGGTACTTCTGTAGGGACATTCCAGTGTATAAAAAACATCATACTATATGCCTAAGAAATTTCGAAAATATAATTCTCAGTAACAACACAGTGTTATGATAGAATTATTCCAATAGTTAGTTGCTACTAATTATCCTCCCCTCTTTATTGATTAACAGTCGCTATTTTGTACACGTAATATCATTTGGTTGTGAGATGAATCAAACAAGCTCCAAATGGATCAGGCATGTGGAAGATGGCCAGCAATTATAAGCAAGTAGAAGTATCTAATGTAAAATTAAGTATAGCAGAAAGTCAATAACAACATTCAGAGAAGAGATTCAACATTAACGCTTGACATACTGGAATATGTGTGGCTGTCCTTCTCGTAAGAACTCCAATGAGTTGGGGTCTCCGAACGCAAGAGGTCAAAGAGACAAGATCCTGACCCTACAAAAGCACCAGAGTTACACATATATCTCTAAGCAACTTCGAAGGGTTGGCATTCCAGCCAAGTTATATGATTTTACCAGAAATTTAAATCAGCATAATAAATTTATTTCTTGGCAACTTAATCTCTTGCTCTCTTAAAGTGAATGAGTTAAATACAGGTCCATGGTGATTGAGCTTTGATAGGCAACAAGCTATTACAAATGACATATAGTTCACATGGGAAACACACAAATCAGGGAGCACAAGTAAAACCAAAGACCAAAATTGCGTGTCCTTTCGGTCACTTCAACTGAAACAGTTCGGTTTCAGTGGGCACGGAAACAAAACCATGGTGGAAAATCAAAATTCCTGTGTTTTGGAATGTTTCGGAATCAACACTTCAAATTTTTCTCAGTATTCATTCTATTTCCGAATCATTTATGCTTTCAAGATGACCGAAAGTACTCACCAAAGAAAATTTTGGCCCTTCAGAAAAACTACTTTAAAATCATCGATACTCCAATAATTCTTGCAAATGGGCAAAAAAATCCAAGATTCCGAAAACAGCAAAGATTACAGGCACCAAGGCGTGTCATCATTAAGAAAATGTGAAGTACTTACAACAACACAATTTTTTAGAAATATCCCCCAATAAATGTGGAGAAAGGTGATATGTTTGCAAATTCTTTCATAAAAACAAACAAACAATCAATCAATTAAAACATAGCAGTACAATATTTCACACATTTAAGAGCTAATGCATGTGGCTTTCTTTAAAGAGCAAAATAAAACTACCCGGAACATTCTTCGAATTGTTATTTTCGTGTTGTATAGACATTTGAGCCTCGAAACTTCAGACACAAATCAGGAAACAGCACTACAATCTCAATGAACCCATTTTTCTGGATTCTTATCTGCATTAAACATGATGGGTGTCAAACAAAAATTCAAATCAATCAACTGCTTCACACCATATGTGATCCAAAATGAATGAGAGAGAGAGAGAAAGAGAGAGAGAGAGAGAGAACATGTCAATAGATTAAAGAAAAAAATTGAAAAGTTGTTCTTACATATTGGAAGGAAGCTTTCAATGGTAGCCAAAATTGAATTTGAGATTCAATTATTGAAACATTACAAGTGAATAAGAGGTAGTTTCATGGATAATTGTATGGCAAAAGAATGAACACATAGAAATGTATATATATATATATATATATATGTATATAATAGGATTATATGTACAGGATTGTGTAGAGAGAAAGAAGAACGATTGAGGAAGATTAGGAGAGGGTGGATCAGAAATAGTTGCAGGTCGGAATTGGGTTAAGTATATAATAAGAATTTTTTCATTTTTTTTTCTCTAAAGGTGTATGAATGTCAAACCAAAAAGTCAAAAAGCTGGATGATCCCAATTTGGCGAGTTAGGAAGAAGCTTTTGGTGAATGGACAATTACCTGACAAAACGAACGCTTTTGGCGTTCCACTCACACGCGCCATATATGGCGCGTACGCCCACACCTCTAAGTTAGTAAGAATTAGAAATGTGCCCCCACGTATTTCAATTTTTTTTCCTCACTTTATTGTTTTTTCTTTTTCATTTTCAACATGAATTTTTTTTTCTTCTCACTTTCCCCCTCCTCCTAGTTTTTGAATCCATTAGTGACAAGAAATATGTACCTTAGCATTTGATTGGTTTTTTCTTTCCATTCTAATGTTATTCAATATATTTCAGACAAATATTGAATATTTATAATATCATAAATAAATTTCTTTTGTTTCCGTTCTTTCTCCAAATCTTTTTTTCTGTGTGTGTAGGCTCGTAGGAGACTAGGGTATAAACCAATTTTGCTTATTTCTTAATTGTGTTCATTGGGTGCTAACTCAAAATTTTAAATATCTATACAAATCTATGGATAAAAACCTTCAATTCTTTGTGCAAATGATCAGAGTTTAATTGTGTTTTCCCTAAGATATGATTCACTAATTACTACTCCCCCTTTCCCTCTATCCAAATAAGCGGACTCAAGAATATGTTTTAAGGTGGACACATTTAACAACAAATTTTACTTTATTCTCTAATAGATAAAAATAATGTTATACATTTATATTTTTTATATCATATTTAATACTTAAATATACATTAAACATAAAATGGCTAAAAGTTAGTATACATAGTCTATACAAAAAAAAACTAGAAAGAGGTTTGTTATAACCCTTTATAAAAAAAATTAAAAAATGAGGCTAATTATATTAATTTTCAATTGACCCCTACGANAAAAAAAGTGTAAAAAAAAAGAAGAAAAAAAAGAAAAGAAAAAAAAGTGTAAGGTCACATGGTATTCATGTCGTATATGTTGTGCTAAAACTTATACCTATCCTAACACTAACTTGACCACAATGATTGAAAGAAAGTTTTTACATTCACCAGTGAAAGACAATGTTGGATAGAGGCTCGAGTCCTCTGGCATTCTTCAAATTGAAATAAAAGTGTTTTTCTTTTACTTAATTAACGACTAAATAAAGATAGAGAACAAAGAGTCCCATTTAACTATTCGAATATGTTACTTACACCCATTTCGGATCGGGAGATCCACAATCTGCACAGAACTTATTGCTGGATTCATGCAGCAGATTCTTTAGCCTCCCATGAGGACCTGATTAAAAGAATAGATAGCATAAAAGCCATACACAAGCTACATAAATTCTATTAAGCAAAGCGTTGAAGTGCAGCTAGCAGAGAAATAATTTTATGAAAATAGGAAATCACCAAGGGTACTTCTGTAGGGACATTCCAGTGTATAAAAAACATCATACTATATGCCTAAGAAATTTCGAAAATATAATTCTCAGTAACAACACAGTGTTATGATAGAATTATTCCAATAGTTAGTTGCTACTAATTATCCTCCCCTCTTTATTGATTAACAGTCGCTATTTTGTACACGTAATATCATTTGGTTGTGAGATGAATCAAACAAGCTCCAAATGGATCAGGCATGTGGAAGATGGCCAGCAATTATAAGCAAGTAGAAGTATCTAATGTAAAATTAAGTATAGCAGAAAGTCAATAACAACATTCAGAGAAGAGATTCAACATTAACCCTTGACATACTGGAATATGTGTGGCTGTCCTTCTCGTAAGAACTCCAATGTGTTGGGGTCTCCGAACGCAAGAGGTCAAAGAGACAAGATCCTGACCCTACAAAAGCACCAGAGTTACACATATATCTCTAAGCAACTTCGAAGGGTTGGCATTCCAGCCAAGTTATATGATTTTACCAGAAATTTAAACCAGCATAATAAATTTATTTCTTGGCAACTTAATCTCTTGCTCTCTTAAAGTGAATGAGTTAAATACAGGTCCATGGTGATTGAGCTTTGATAGGCAACAAGCTATTACAAATGACATATAGTTCACATGGGAAACACACAAATCAGGGAGCACAAGTAAAACCAAAGACCAAAATTGCGTGTCCTTTCGGTCACTTCAACTGAAACAGTTCGGTTTCAGTGGGCACGGAAACAAAACCATGGTGGAAAATCAAAATTCCTGTGTTTTGGAATGTTTCGGAATCAACACTTCAAATTTTTCTCAGTATTCATTCTATTTCCGAATCATTTATGTTTTCAAGATGACCGAAAGTACTCACCAAAGAAAATTTTGGTCCTTCAGAAAAACTACTTTAAAATCACCGATACTCCAATAATTCTTGCAAATGGGCAAAAAAATCCAAGATTCCGAAAACAGCAAAGATTACAGGCACCAAGGCGTGTCATCATTAAGAAAATGTGAAGTACTTACAACAACACAATTTTTTAGAAATATCCCCCAATAAATGTGGAGAAAGGTGATATGTTTGCAAATTCTTTCATAAAAACAAACAAACAATCAATCAATTAAAACATAGCAGTACAATATTTCACACATTTAAGAGCTAATGCATGTGGCTTTCTTTAAAGAGCAAAATAAAACTACCCGGAACATTCTTCGAATTGTTATTTTCGTGTTGTATAGACATTTGAGCCTCGAAACTTCAGACACAAATCAGGAAACAGCACTACAATCTCAATGAACCCATTTTTCTGGATTCTTATCTGCATTAAACATGATGGGTGTCAAACAAAAATTCAAATCAATCAACTGCTTCACACCATATGTGATCCAAAATGAATGAGAGAGAGAGAGAGAGAGAGAGAGAGAGAGAGAACATGTCAATAGATTAAAGAAAAAAATTGAAAAGTTGTTCTTACATATTGGAAGGAAGCTTTCAATGGTAGCCAAAATTGAATTTGAGATTCAATTATTGAAACATTACAAGTGAATAAGAGGTAGTTTCATGGATAATTGTATGGCAAAAGAATGAACACATAGAAATGTATATATATATATATATATATATGTATATAATAGGATTATATGTACAGGATTGTGTAGAGAGAAAGAAGAACGATTGAGGAAGATTAGGAGAGGGTGGATCAGAAATAGTTGCAGGTCGGAATTGGGTTAAGTATATAATAAGAATTTTTTCATTTTTTTTTCTCTAAAGGTGTATGAATGTCAAACCAAAAAGTCAAAAAGCTGGATGATCCCAATTTGGCGAGTTAGGAAGAAGCTTTTGGTGAATGGACAATTACCTGACAAAACGAACGCTTTTGGCGTTCCACTCACACGCCCCATATATGGCGCGTACTCCCACACCTCTAAGTTAGTAAGAATTAGAAATGTGCCCCCACGTATTTCAATTTTTTTTCCTCACTTTATTGTTTTTTCTTTTTCATTTTCAACATGAATTTTTTTTTCTTCTCACTTTCCCCCTCCTCCTAGTTTTTGAATCCATTAGTGACAAGAAATATGTACCTTAGCATTTGATTGGTTTTTTCTTTCCATTCTAATGTTATTCAATATATTTCAGACAAATATTGAATATTTATAATATCATAAATAAATTTCTTTTGTTTCCGTTCTTTCTCCAAATCTTTTTTTCTGTGTGTGTAGGCTCGTAGGAGACTAGGGTATAAACCAATTTTGCTTATTTCTTAATTGTGTTCATTGGGTGCTAACTCAAAATTTTAAATATCTATACAAATCTATGGATAAAAACCTTCAATTCTTTGTGCAAATGATCAGAGTTTAATTGTGTTTTCCCTAAGATATGATTCACTAATTACTACTCCCCCTTTCCCTCTATCCAAATAAGCGGACTCAAGAATATGTTTTAAGGTGGACACATTTAACAACAAATTTTACTTTATTCTCTAATAGATAAAAATAATGTTATACATTTATATTTTTTATATCATATTTAATACTTAAATATACATTAAACATAAAATGGCTAAAAGTTAGTATACATAGTCTATACAAAAAAAAACTAGAAAGAGGTTTGTTATAACCCTTTATAAAAAAAATTAAAAAATGAGGCTAATTATATTAATTTTCAATTGACCCCTACGAGTCTTTATATTTTGAAAGTGTTCCATGAAAACCTCATGATCAATGCCATCAAAAATGAGAATAGAGTAGGCCAAGATTTTTTTTTCTTTATTTTTTTTTATTAATAATACTATTTGAACTTAATTTATTGACTTATTTCATTAAATTTGTTGTGGATCTGAGCATATATTAAGGTCTACTGTCAATCCAATGATTATGAATTATTAGGCGAGTAAAATTAGATCCAAGTAGCATTACTTTTTATTTCTTAGGGTTGATTCCAAGAGATTTGATACAACCTATATTTTTTTTTTTCTAATTCCAAGTACCCAATAGATTTGTTCTCCTCTATGATTGACCAAAAAATAGATCCAGTTTTACTTCATGCTAGATTGNCACTAATTACTACTCCCCCTTTCCCTCTATCCAAATAAGCGGACTCAAGAATATGTTTTAAGGTGGACACATTTAACAACAAATTTTACTTTATTCTCTAATAGATAAAAATAATGTTATACATTTATATTTTTTATATCATATTTAATACTTAAATATACATTAAACATAAAATGGCTAAAAGTTAGTATACATAGTCTATACAAAAAAAAACTAGAAAGAGGTTTGTTATAACCCTTTATAAAAAAATTAAAAAATGAGGCTAATTATATTAATTTTCAATTGACCCCTACAANAGAGTTACACATATATCTCTAAGCAACTTCGAAGGGTTGGCATTCCAGCCAAGTTATATGATTTTACCAGAAATTTAAACCAGCATAATAAATTTATTTCTTGGCAACTTAATCTCTTGCTCTCTTAAAGTGAATGAGTTAAATACAGGTCCATGGTGATTGAGCTTTGATAGGCAACAAGCTATTACAAATGACATATAGTTCACATGGGAAACACACAAATCAGGGAGCACAAGTAAAACCAAAGACCAAAATTGCGTGTCCTTTCGGTCACTTCAACTGAAACAGTTCGGTTTCAGTGGGCACGGAAACAAAACCATGGTGGAAAATCAAAATTCCTGTGTTTTGGAATGTTTCGGAATCAACACTTCAAATTTTTCTCAGTATTCATTCTATTTCCGAATCATTTATGCTTTCAAGATGACCGAAAGTACTCACCAAAGAAAATTTTGGCCCTTCAGAAAAACTACTTTAAAATCACCGATACTCCAATAATTCTTGCAAATGGGCAAAAAAATCCAAGATTCCGAAAACAGCAAAGATTACAGGCACCAAGGCGTGTCATCATTAAGAAAATGTGAAGTACTTACAACAACACAATTTTTTAGAAATATCCCCCAATAAATGTGGAGAAAGGTGATATGTTTGCAAATTCTTTCATAAAAACAAACAAACAATCAATCAATTAAAACATAGCAGTACAATATTTCACACATTTAAGAGCTAATGCATGTGGCTTTCTTTAAAGAGCAAAATAAAACTACCCGGAACATTCTTCGAATTGTTATTTTCGTGTTGTATAGACATTTGAGCCTCGAAACTTCAGACACAAATCAGGAAACAGCACTACAATCTCAATGAACCCATTTTTCTGGATTCTTATCTGCATTAAACATGATGGGTGTCAAACAAAAATTCAAATCAATCAACTGCTTCACACCATATGTGATCCAAAATGAATGAGAGAGAGAGAGAGAGAGAGAGAGAGAGAGAGAACATGTCAATAGATTAAAGAAAAAAATTGAAAAGTTGTTCTTACATATTGGAAGGAAGCTTTCAATGGTAGCCAAAATTGAATTTGAGATTCAATTATTGAAACATTACAAGTGAATAAGAGGTAGTTTCATGGATAATTGTATGGCAAAAGAATGAACACATAGAAATGTATATATATATATATATATATATGTATATAATAGGATTATATGTACAGGATTGTGTAGAGAGAAAGAAGAACGATTGAGGAAGATTAGGAGAGGGTGGATCAGAAATAGTTGCAGGTCGGAATTGGGTTAAGTATATAATAAGAATTTTTTCATTTTTTTTTCTCTAAAGGTGTATGAATGTCAAACCAAAAAGTCAAAAAGCTGGATGATCCCAATTTGGCGAGTTAGGAAGAAGCTTTTGGTGAATGGACAATTACCTGACAAAACGAACGCTTTTGGCGTTCCACTCACACGCCCCATATATGGCGCGTACTCCCACACCTCTAAGTTAGTAAGAATTAGAAATGTGCCCCCACGTATTTCAATTTTTTTTCCTCACTTTATTGTTTTTTCTTTTTCATTTTCAACATGAATTTTTTTTTCTTCTCACTTTCCCCCTCCTCCTAGTTTTTGAATCCATTAGTGACAAGAAATATGTACCTTAGCATTTGATTGCTTTTTTCTTTCCATTCTAATGTTATTCAATATATTTCAGACAAATATTGAATATTTATAATATCATAAATAAATTTCTTTTGTTTCCGTTCTTTCTCCAAATCTTTTTTTCTGTGTGTGTAGGCTCGTAGGAGACTAGGGTATAAACCAATTTTGCTTATTTCTTAATTGTGTTCATTGGGTGCTAACTCAAAATTTTAAATATCTATACAAATCTATGGATAAAAACCTTCAATTCTTTGTGCAAATGATCAGAGTTTAATTGTGTTTTCCCTAAGATATGATTCACTAATTACTACTCCCCCTTTCCCTCTATCCAAATAAGCGGACTCAAGAATATGTTTTAAGGTGGACACATTTAACAACAAATTTTACTTTATTCTCTAATAGATAAAAATAATGTTATACATTTATATTTTTTATATCATATTTAATACTTAAATATACATTAAACATAAAATGGCTAAAAGTTAGTATACATAGTCTATACAAAAAAAAACTAGAAAGAGGTTTGTTATAACCCTTTATAAAAAAATTAAAAAATGAGGCTAATTATATTAATTTTCAATTGACCCCTACAAGTCTTTATATTTTGAAAGTGTTCCATGAAAACCTCATGATCAATGCCATCAAAAATGAGAATAGAGTAGGCCAAGATTTTTTTTTCTTAATTTTTTTTTTATTAATAATACTATTTGAACTTAATTTATTGACTTATTTCATTAAATTTGTTGTGGATCTGAGCATATATTAAGGTCTACTGTCAATCCAATGATTATGAATTATTAGGCGAGTAAAATTAGATCCAAGTAGCATTACTTTTTATTTCTTAGGGTTGATTCCAAGAGATTTGATACAACCTATATTCTTTTTTTTTCTAATTCCAAGTACCCAATAGATTTGTTCTCCTCTATGATTGACCAAAAAATATATCCAATTTTACTTCATGCTAGATCGTCGACGAATAATAGGTACTCCACCTCAAGTAGAATTAGTGAGTCGTGTACTAGGCGACCATTTTGCTTGGTTCGGGGGGCACTTGAGTCAGCCACTGGCGCCTAACAACGTCTTGATCCCTATCTAATTTTTTGGGCCTAAAAGCGATGATTCACTTGTCCTCTTGTACATAAGGACGTCGTGGCATACAACCAAAATGATTCCCGCTAAATAGTCATCCCTCTCTCTCTTTTTACATTGGTAATTTTTTTTTAGGGTGAGCACTGGTCCCTGGCCCCTTGCTCCCTCCGCCCCGGTCCAATGAATATCAACTTAATCACCTTTTGTTTAGACCATAATTTTGGTGTTATTCTATGAGGTTAAAATATATATATATATATATATATATATATATATTGTAAACTACAAGAAAGACCTTTTCAAACATAAAGCAATGAAACAAATCTGATGTCCAGTAGCCAAAATAAATAAATAAAAATCGATGAAACAAACTTACATTTCAAACATAGCCTAGGTCAAAGTTGGATAAACCTAATTGTAT